GAGCCTTGGCTTCGCYCATTCCTCCCTCACACAGGTACTTGGTGGTGCCAGCTGAAAGGACGGAGGAGGATGAACGGAAGCTGCTCTTGCAGAGAGAGAAAAACGAAGAATGCACCGTGTAATGGAGGACTAAGTCCTATCAGGAAAATAAGACCTGCTGAGGTTGGCAAGATTGGGAATTGGGAGACTATTTTAGATAGAATCAGGAGGAAAAMTAGGCCACCTCTTAGGAAGCGTATTTGAGTTAAGACCTGAGTTATGCGAAAGACCSAGTCCCCTGGGGGAACAGCATTCCAGGGGATGGAACAGCAAGTGCGAATGTCCTGGGGCAGGAAGGACCTGTTGTGGGAGGACCGGCAAAGGCTGTGTGAGCCCTAAATAGACAAGCTGTGAAACTTCCTAGAACAGTTCCTGGAACACGCTGGCTATCACTATGATTGGTGTCATTTTGTCTTCAYGATGACAAGGACCACTCCCATTTGGTTTACTATTATGTTATTSAGTTTTATTTTAACAGTCAGAATTAGTGAGGTGCAATTTCCCTATCCTATAATCAACCCTCGTTGACTGTACAGGTGGGTATGGTTTGAGAAAYGGGGCCCGCCTGAAAGTCCCACCATCATCACCCTATTGGACGCCTCCACCACCTCAGAGATTCTCTGCTGCCCTCTGTGGCCGCCTCCTTCCCCGGGCAGAGTGCCTGGCACTTACRGCATCTCTGTCTCTGGAGTTTGGGAGCCCGTGTGCAAGGGCGCTTCCTACCTTCTTCMCCGTTGGGCATGCTGCTTTCTAGATCCACCCAGCCGCTGATSTTGCTCTTTTCGATTCTCGAGCAGGGTCCAGTGTGTGGCTGAACCACCTATTATTTATACCTCACCTTTAGACAGACACCTGGAGATTGCCGCCAAGCTGCCACAAACACTTGTGTCTTCATTTTCTTGGGTTAAGACCCAGGAGTCACAGTGCTGGGTCACATGTTTAGCTTGATTAGAAACAACAGGATGGTTTTCCAGAGTGGGGGCACYGCTGCGTCCCCACTGTGTCCCCCACAGGGAGTGACGCAGTTGCTGGTATTCACGGACACTTGGTATTGTCGGATCGACTTGTTCATCTCCAGCCAAACCTCCAAACATGGGATTCTGTGTCAGAGATTCAATCAACTGTGGATGGAAAGTAATTGGCAAAAAATGCATTGGTAGCAAACATGCACAGACYGTTTTTGGTCGTCCTTATTCCCTGAACAAATACAGAATCGCAACAGTCTACGTGGCTTTTCTGTTATACTAGGTATCACGAGTGATCTGGACATGACTTCAAGTGCCCAGGGGGCTGTGCATCAGTTATATGCAATACTGTGCTATACTTGGGAGGATCACAAGTTTGGGGCCAGTGTCAGCAATTTAGCAAGACCCTGTGCCTATCAAAAAATAAAAAGGGCCGAGGATATGGCTCAGTAGTAAAGAGCCTCTGGGTTCAATCCCCAGGACCCAAAACAAAAAGAGACAACAAAACAAAACACAAAAAACTGGTTCTCACTAAATTGCCCAGGCTGGCCTCATATTTTGATTCTCCTGCCTTAGCCTCCCAAGTGGGTGAGGTTACAGAGGGTGGACTGCCATACGAGGCTCTATTGAGTCTTTTTTTTTAAGAGAATTTTTTTTTAATATTTATTTTTTAGTTTTCCCACAGACACAACATCTTTGTTTGTATGTGGTGCTGAGGATTGAACCTGGGCCACACGCATGCCAGGCGAGCGCGCTACCGCTTGAGCCACATCCCCAGCCCTCTACTGAGTCATTTTGAAGACATTAATGGAGCTAAATAATCAGCATTTGATGTTCTGCATAAGAGACAGGAGCATCTGCAGATGTGGAGATCCACGGGGGCTCGGGTGGGTCCTAGAACCATCCCCGGTGGACACTGATTCTAACATGGATTGATTGGCATTCAGCCTTTCCAGTGGACACCCGGGGCATCTCATTGGGTCTGATTCCCTTTTGCTGAAGACTAATGAGGCTGAGCATCTTTTGCAATCCTTATTTGCCATCCATGTCTCTTCTCTGGTGAACTAATTCCTCCAGGATTTTGCCTGTTTTAAATTGGAAATTTGTTTTCTTATTGAATTGTAGTTTTGTTTTTTTTAATATATCCCAGATGCAAGTTTTTCAGTCCAGCATACGTTTTGCAAAGAGATCCTCTAGTCTAGGCTTGCCTTTTCACAGTCTCAAAGAGAGTCTTTTGAAGAGGTGAAGTTCTATAATTTCATATGAAAGCCCAGCTTATCAAAATCTTCCTTTATGGTTCACATATCTTTTATTCTAAGAAACTTCACCTAACCCAAGGTGACAAAATTGYATTCTATATTCATTTTATTCTGAAAGTTTCACAGTTGGAGCTTTYACATCTAGATTGGTGATCCATTTTGGGTCATTCTTTTTAGGTGACATGTGACTTAGGGCCAAGGCTCGGCTCCGAGATTGGCTCATACCCTTTGCTGAAAGATCTGCCTTAGGAATCGCAAGGCTTTGCCCAGCGTTCTGTGCGGGGCAGAATTTCCAGTCCCGTGGGAGTGTTGCCAGAGAAGGGTGAGGATTCAGATTGTGGAAGTCCTTGAGTGGGGAATGGGACTCCAAGGGGCCTGCCTCAGTGGCCCTCTGGGTGATGAAGTCACCGGCCCCAGGTCAGCACGCAGGCCAGCCGGGGAGGTGCCTGCCCGGGCGTCTCTCTTGGTGTTCTCAGAGATTTGTACTGCTCTTGCGTAAGCTGCAGATTAGGAAAGCATTAGGTAAGGAGAGTGGCCCGAGCCGATTACACACCAGCCTGGCGCGGGGCCAGGAATGCGGCCTGCAGGGAAGGCCTTGCCCAGGGAGTCCAGTAGAGCTCGCGCCACGGCAGGGACGGCTTCCCCTCTCCTCCTGCAGCCAGAGCAGAGGTTCTGCTGGGTCTGGCTGGGCTCTGCGCTGGAGAAGCAGGGTTAGGGTTAGAGTTAGGGTTAGGGTTAGGGTTAGACACTGAGATACTGCACATGGGGCAGTGGGTCTCGGGGTGTCTGGGTAGCTTTCGTGGAGGACGGGGCACGAGATGCCGGTTCTGAAGGATAGAAGCCTGCAGGTTTCTGGGGGTGGGGGTGTGGATCCTGGAGGGTGGGACAACCTCAGTGGAAGTCCCATGATGGAGCCGTAATGACAGCGAATCCAGTGGCAGCTGTGTCAGCCCCACTCTCTTTTTCGTTTTGGTCCTGGGGATTGAACCCAGAGATGCTCTCCACTGACCTGCATGCCCAGCCCTTTCAGCTTTGTCCTTGTGAGACGGGGTCATGCTCAGTTACCCAGGCTGGCCTTGAACTTGAGGTCGACCKGCCTCAGCCTCCCCGGGGRCTGGGGTGACAGGTGTACGCCACTRCATCTGGCTGAACCTCACTGTCTTGATGGCTCCGTCCGCCCCGGGGGGTGCTGTTACCTGTCTGCCTTGTGGGGTTCTCAGCGCTGTCTTGAGGCCAAGGGAAACAATGCCCCAGAGCACCGGGGCAGCTGTTGTGCCCACGTACAAACGGGGCTTGGTCCCCTGGGGAGAAAGCTGGCGCCTCTGGGAGTCTTCTCACCTGCCAACGGCATACTGGCTTCTGCTTTGCCTCTGAGGAYAGCGGACTCATTCCCTTTTCTACAAGAGAGGTGACTGCTGTCCACCTGGGGGAGCGTAAACCTCAGTGCTCCAGGCCAAATCAAAAAATGCCCACTYTCACTTAATTCAGCAAACCTCGAGGCCCTGTGCCAGGCACGGGGTGTGGCCTGTCTTCCGGAGGCTCTCAGGCTAGCACTAGATGAAGCCCACCAGGATGGGGTACTGCTGTCCACTGAAGCTCATGGCTTCTCCCTTTGGGGGRGCACCTTGTTCAACACAGGTGTGGTCATTTAACTTGCCTTGAATAATGACTGTGAGCAGAACACAAGCATATTACTTCTGGGTTGAAGCCTTAAATTTAACACCTTGTTTCATACAGTTTTCTTTGCCCTCTCTCACGACAGCCAGATATGCCCCCAGAAACAGGCTACAGCGTTCCACTTGGGAACCAGGGTGAAGATGATGCTGAACAGAGCAGCTGCCAACCTGTGATGGACATTTAGGGTGAGTGAGAAATAAACCTTTGCTGCTGTAACAGCAAAGTTGGACATTGGGTGTTGTTTGTTACTGCAGCACAACCTAGCCCATCCTGACTAACGTACCCTTAAACAGCTCACCAGAGCATGGAGGAAAGTGCTGGAAAATAAATGAATGGTGTTCTGTGGGAACATAGAGGAAGGAAGCAGGGAGCAGAGATTAACCCCACAGGGATCTCTTCTACTCATTTACTCCTTCCAATGAATATGGTAGAAATCATCTTCACATAACAACTGAGAGATGTTAAATTCCAGGTCATGCAGTTTGTCCTGAAGGGGTCTGCTGTTTCAGTTTAGGTTTTCCTGATACCTACACCTGGACTTAGAAATTTTATTAACGGTAGCTAACATTTTTCTAGCACTTTCTATGTGCTGGGACAGTGTTCTAAAAGCTGTGAATTAACCCCCTGAACTCTCACATCAAACCTTCGAGGTGGGTGTGATATTATCCCCAGTTTACATTACGGGGAAACTGAGGCCACTGACTTGCCCCAGGTCACCCAGGTGGCACCTGAAGCCTGGAAGTCTGGGGCCACTGCTCTAGAAGCCGGGTTCCCTCATGCTCCCGAGGCAGCRGGTGAGCCCTGAACTGCCCGGTGGCAGCTCTGCTGGGGCCAGCTCTCCAGCAGCCCTGGGCAGCCATTGTGTTTCAGTGGCCACCTGTCAGCCCACCGCTCCTCACTGTCCCTTCAACCTTCCTGGATGTCTTGTGGGCACCCCAAATTCCAGCCCCCCCGTCGGTCAGCCTCTTCCCCAAGCCCCAGGGGATCTCCTGCAGGAAGCGTGCCCCGCGGCACAGGTGCCTCTGCCTTTGCCTCTTCCCGTTGCTGATCCCCCTTCTAGGCCATCCTTCTCCGGCTGGTGAACGGCCACCGTTCGCCAAGACGGAGGCCAAGAGCAGCTTTAGGCACGAGAGCCCCAAATCTGGAAGCAACACAGATGCCATCGACTGGTACCGTGGACCTGAAACGTCCCCCAAGGGCCCGTATGTGCAAGGTGGCCGCCAGACTGGCGCTGCTGGGAGGCGGGGGACTGCAGGGGGGCGGGGGCCTGGTGGAAGGACCGTAGGCCCCCCGGGTGTGCCTGGAAGGGTATATTGGGACCCCAGCTCCTCCCTCTTGCTTTGCTTCCCACGAGGCTAGCAGCTTTGCTCCGCCATGTGCCCCTGCCTCGATGTTCTGTCCTGCCACAGGCCACAGTGACACTAAAATATCTGAAACCCAGACCAGAAGGCCTCGACTGTCAAGCCTCGGTGAACCCCCACTGGTCCACAGGGCCTGGGGGGCCTTGGCACCCAGCCTGCTCTGGCGGGAGGTTCTTATAGTCACTGCATCCCCTCCCCATCCTGCACCTTGGGATGTGACCCCAAGCCCAGGGACAGAGGGCCCTGTTTGTCTTTCTCAGTGATGTTTCTCCAGTGCCCAGCACAGAGCTGGTCAGGCAATAAAATCACAAAGATTCTTTTTATCCAATAGACTTTTGAACACCTGGAATAAACAGATTGTTAGTTGGTTGCTGAAAATATTAAATGAAACGGAGGGCAGCCCACGTGTGGATCATTTCCCCCAATACTTTTAACCTTAAATGATAGTGTGGGGAAGCCCAAGAGAGGCCAAATCTCTGATACGTTCAAGTCCTGGTGGGTACATTTTTTGGGGAAGGTTATCAACATTTTGGAGGGTGCTCTGTGGCATTTTATTTAAAAAAAAAAAAAAAACACAATATTTTTTAGAACAGTTTTAGGTTTCCAGGAAAATTGCTGAGATAACAGAGAAAACTCCCCTCTGCTCTGCTCACAGTTTTCCCCAATCCTAGCTTCTCKCACTGAAATGCTACATTGGCTATAATTAATGAACCAATATCAATATAGTAATATCAACGAACGCCCGTAAACTGTTTAGATTTGCTTAGTTTTTGTGTAACATGCTTTTCTTGTCCCAGGATCCCACATTACATTGTCCCCTCCAGCTGTACCTGACTGTGCGGGTTTCTCAGACTCTCCTTGTTTCTGAGGCCCTTGGTAGTTTGGAGAGGTACTAGCAAGTATTTTTTTTTACCCTGTCTTTTCTTTTGATACTGGGGATTGAACTCAGGGGCAGTCCACCACTGAGCCACATCCCCAGCCCTGTTTGGTATTTTATTTAGGTCTCACAGAGTTGCTTAGCGCCTCATCGTTGCTGAGGCTGGCTTTGAACTTGCCATCCACCTGTCTCAGCCTCCTGAGCAGCTGGGATCATAGGCGTGCATCACCRTGCCCGGCTACACTATCTTTTAACTGGGATTTATTCAACGTCTCTCTCACGGTTGACCAGCGTTGTGGGTTTGGGAGGAAGACGGTAGAGGTCAAGAGCGGCACTTGTTTTTCAGATCTGAATTCTATCTGTGACTTTAGATGAGAATGTGTCATGGTTGACATTCTATGGTGATGAGGTTGCCTTCCTTCTAAGGGGAAAGAGGGCTTGATCCTCAAATGGGCAATGACAAAACAGAACAAAATCACAAGCATGTTTTCTGTCTGCAACTTCATCCTCTCCCACACCCAAACCAACAATACTGCAGTGTCTGGGTATTGGTAGTACTTTCTAGGTGAATTAAACTGACTCAGAGGGAGCCAGGAAGCTGTTGCATAGACAGCTCATCCTGGATCAACCCCTTCCTGCTGTCATGTTTTCTTCCTGAGCTAATCGTCTAAGGATCAGAAGGTGGGGAAATGATTCTGTTCTTAAGGGTCTGCCCAACATTTACACATTTTTAAAGTCCTTGCTATAATCTTGGAGCCATACTTGGGCCATAAAGATGACGGAGACTGGGTTCTACGTTGCAAGTGTCAGGGGTTTGGAGAGAGAATGAGTGAGAGCTGTCACAGGTCACAGGTCTCGGAGAGCTGGGCATGTCCTGGAATTCTGCACACCCATGGAGGGGAGGTCATCATTTGGGTTGGCGTGAAGCCTGCCAGTCAAATGTAGCTGGGCAGTACAAGATGCCAACAGAATGAGCCTGTTAACAAGCAGGACAGGCTCTGCCTGTAACGGGACAATCAACACAGGATTTAACAGGGGCCWTCTTTCCCAGATTCCAATGGTTTTGAGTGAGTGAGAGGTGACTTTTCCCTTCCAGGTCTGCCTGGGTGACGATACTCAGGCTCAGCTGGGGGAGGTGACCCAGCTTAATCAGAGGCTGTGACACGGTTTACCTACCCTAATCCTTAAGTCCTTGGCTCTTTTCCACATCGCTCATGTCAGACTCACCCCTCGGTGAGGACAGGACCGTGCTTTGCCAAGCCCTCCAGGTCTCCAGCCAGTAGGTCCGGGTTTGGTTTCATATTAATGAAAATCGCCTCCATTTGGATGATGGACACAGAACGCCAGTTCCTGTACTTTCTATATTTGGTCTCACCCAATCTTCAGTGGAGCACGAGACAATGATGGTGCTGATGAGAGTTATTAATTACTGAGCAGTTATTATGTGCCAGGTGGTACAAAGGGCTTGGCCCGGAACTCAAGTTCTACATTAATCCTGTGTGCACACAAGTCTTCAGCACAGAACTGGATTGATTTTGACCTCTGTGTGTACCCACATAACCACCACCTAGGATAAGACGTAGGATGGTTCTCCCAGGCTGTCTCGGGGCCGAGCCTCCTCATGACCACCCCCTCAGCCAAGGAAGCCTCTCTTCTGTCATCACTGTGGATACCTCCTGTGGCTCATTTAAAAAAAAAAAATCTTGGAGTTGGTGGAGCACTTGCCTAGCAGGTGAGTCACTGGGTTCGATCTTCCGCACTACATAAAACAAACAAACAAATAAATAAATGAATGCTTGAAGACAGGTATTGTGTTCATCTACAACTTAAAAAAATTAAGTATCTTATTTTAGAATTAAAGTGAAATTAACATTCATAAAAATCAGCCCCTTGGCAGTGGCCTGCCGTGTTCTGCAGAGCTCGGGAACCTCACCTCTGTCTCCAAAACATTTTCGTCACCCTGCRAGGAAACCCCGAACCCATTCAGCACTTAGCTTGTTTTTGAACGTCCCGAAAGTGAATCATGCAGGGCGTGCCCTCCTGGGTCTGAGAGTCACCCGTGTGGTGTGTGCGGTGCCAATATTACCCTGGTTTTATAGATGAGGAAACTAAGGCCAGAGTGGTGGAGTGACCGGCCCAGGATGGCTCAGCAGGCCGGGCCAGCGGTGGGGCCTGGAGTCCTGTTTCAGGAGGGTGCACCCCGTTTCCCGGGAAAGAGCCAACTCCAGGGAATGAGGTCTCAAGCTGAGCATCGCTGGCCAGGATTTCAGTGCAGCCTTCAGCCTGCAGCCCAAGCCGGTGGCCGCCGCCTGTTTTCCCACTGGCCATCTGAGCGCCGTGGGGCCTCTGTAGGCCTCAGTTCTCAGCCTCACTAAAGCCTTCTGCGCCTTGTCTGGGCGGAGGGGGCTTGACTGAGAGCCCCTGTGAGCCTTCAAGCACCGTCACGAGGTTTTGGTTGGCCTTATGACGCCGAGGTTCTTTAGGAATGTGGTTGGAGCTGGGTTGGCCCTGGAGAGAGCTGGCCCTACGTGGGGTGGCCAGTGGGGGCCCAGCCCTCCCTGTTCTCTCTGGGTGTTTGTAGAGCTTTAGTGTTTCCTGTGCTTGACCCCATCCAGGGTCCCCAGGACAGACACCTAACATCCAGGGTCTTCTGAAACACCCCGTCCCAGCYTGGTGACCCGGTCATGCATCCTCCGATGAAGCCTTCCGCAGGATGCTCYGCTATCACTTGGGAAGTTCACCTTCTGAGATGGGAGGGGAGAAGAAGGTCAGGGGACCGGGGATGAGAGGCGGGTGCCTTGTGAAAGGGTGCCCTTATTCTCCGGTGACAGCATCTTTTCATCTCTGAAGTTGACCTCGTAGCTTTGCCCCTATGAATGAGTGTGAGGAGAGGTCACATGGTGGACCGTCAGAGTTCGCCACTGTCACTTTCGTCCTTGTCGGGCACYGGGTTCCTGGAGTGGGTGGGTGCTCCTCCCCTCCTGGGCCTCTCTACGCACCCCGGGAAGAGTGGACTTGGGTGTGATGTCCCCCATGGTGGATGGAGTCTTCCCCTCCAGCCTGCTTGGATCCCAACCCTTCCCTTTCCAAGTAATTTCTCAGGGGCAACAGAGGTGGAAKGTTCCAGAAGGCTCTGCAGGCCAGAGGTGGCTTGCCAGAGCAGTTGCCTGGATTACAGCCTCTTCCCCGATCAGCAAATCATGTGAAACAAAGTACCATCCGCTGTGAACCCTGAATGTGGGGGAAACGCTGACACCCAGGGCCCGGTCCCTAAAGCTGACGTTTCTCATGGATAGCGAATTCCTGGGTGCGGGCAGCCGGCCAAGGCCGGGAACTCATTAGCTGGGGATCATCAGGCGGGACTGGGATGCAGAGGCAGCTGGGGGACAGGACAGGGGCGACCTGCCTCTGATGGCGGTCACCAGGTAGCCCAGGCTGTTTCTAAAATACGTGGGGGTCAGGGGCCCCTTTTAGCTCCCCAACAGCTCCCACCTGCCCAGGGAGCCCCCTCCCCACCATCCGGCAATGACAGCCTGGGTGCTGGCCCAGCAAGAGCACTGTGGCCCGGGTCCAGCTGGGACCTGACCCTTATGTGGATGGATCTGGGAAAAATGGTCACGAATACCGTCCACTCAGTGCCCCTGCTGGCTCCTGGACCCGTTCCCTCCTGAGGCCCCAGGAGACGCTGTCTGCAGCCCTCGGGCTCCAGCTGTCTTCCTGCTTCCTGAGACTTGGACCTCTGAGCATCGAGGAAATGAGTGAGGCCCATCACTTCCCCTCCCCCTCCCCCTCCCCCTGCCCCTCCCCCCAAGGTCCCCAGCTTTCTCTTTCCCGCCTTCCTCTTCTCTGTGGCATTTCCTGGTTTTCCCAAACAGAAGGAGTCACGTCCCTCTCTGTGTTCCCATAACACTTAGAAGCCACCCGATCTGTGACTTAAGCTGACTTTATGAACCCCGTGGTTTTT